CCGCGGACCGAGAGAATGAGACCTCCGTCCTAAACTCTTACACTATTCGGTGGAAGTTAATGATTAAGCGCTATGCCCACATGGTATTTAGTGGAAACCAATCCAATTCAACCATGTTGACGTCCTAAAACCTCAACACAGATTTCAAACTTTATTTCACTGAAAGTTTGAAGGTGAAAATGCAGCTAAATCCAACAAGTAGAGTAGGCAGGTCTGGATGGCATGAATTAAGAGTATGTTCCTTAACGAAGCTTCAGCTCTAATCTAGAATAATAATCTGCATCCAGGATAGAAACGCGTTGCTCCTCACCTCCGTGTCATGAAAGGCCTCCACGGCCCGCAGAACCAGGCCTTCCTCCTCCGACAGCACGTACACGCTCTGGATGCCGTTTTCCAGCTCCTCTCCAGGCTGCAGGAAAAACGAGAGCTCCCCCTGCAGGACGGAACAGGAACAGCAGGTCTGTCAGGTCTGAGGACCCGGATCTTCACTCAAGACTTTAATGAAATCAAACCGCTGGGAGATTTGCAGATTCATTTATACCTTTCTAAATCTTTCAGAGAAACATTTTAAACAATAATATTTGAGAAGCTAATTTCAGACTGGTGCTGTGCTCACCTTCACCACCTTCTTCTGGCCCAGCTGAGGCTTCCCATCGGTGCCGACCGGGTCCAGGATCACGCAGTACTGCCTGCTGCTCAGGGTGGTGACGTTCACCACCCCCACCACCTCCTCAGCTACAGATGGGATGTGCGCCTCCCTGTCGGCCATGGTGACCAGCCACTCCTCGCCCGTACGCCGCTCACGCCCGCCGGCGTCCTTGAAGGGCCGCAGGGCGCGAACATGCAGCGCTTTCTGGAAACGACGCAGATCTCAGTCTGGTGAAGCTCATCATTTTTCTTAAAGACTTTACTCTGTAGAACATCACAGCTGCCTGGAGAACTTTGTGATGTTACAGGAAAAGGTTCCTTTGCACTGAGTTTAAACAGGCTCCGCCCCCTCCCTCTCTGCTGTGCCGTAGCTCTGCCGTAAGCCCCGCCCACCAGCTCTGAACATGGGATCTTTAAAAGGAAACCGATTTTGCTCTTCCAGAAACTTTTCTTAAGATTGAAAATAAAATGTAAAAATCAGAGGACTTTTGGGTGTAACTGCAGATTTTTTGTGGAGAATTTCTACAAAATCTGAAAGAAAAAGCAGGAAGCTGAAGCACTGAGACCTCTGCAGAGCGTCAATCCACTGGTTTGAGGCCAGCAGATCGGCACTAGCGTCTGTGGAAATGCTAAGGCAGCAACCTTTGACCTATCCAGGGCCTTTGCTATTTAAAAGCTGCAGATAAATTATTGCTGGACGGCAGACGGTGAATCAGAAGATCCAGATATAAAATAAGAAAATCTGCCTCTGAGGTCAAACCCAGACTGAGACTCTAACGTCACGCAGTAGGAAACAGTCTGAACATGTGGAGGTTCAAAGGTCGGTGGCTGCTGGAGTTTTAGGTCAGGACGTGACCGACTGACATCCTGAGGTTTCTGGTGATGATCTCTGAGGCTGTCAGGCGCCCACAGGTATGGCACCACTAGGTGGCGCTTAGCTCAGCAGGTCACGGATTAGAGGGAGGGGACAGTGGAGGCGGAGTCACCTTGTCGGTCAGGATGAAGGCATTGACAATGTCGATGACCTCTTCGTGAGCACCCGGCAGGTACGCCCCCACCTTGCTCACCAGCCACTCCTCACCTGGACAACAGCAGGACAGGTTGTCCTTTAGAAGCGTCTCCTGAAAGCTGCTTCCGTCCAGTTGGACAGTTTGGACCATTACCTGTGACTCTCTGGACGCCACCGCGGTCTTTGCCTTCCTTTCGCGCCCTGAGCCGGATGGCCTGGTTCTCCCGGATCACCGTGGCCTTGATGGTCTCCAGAACCACCACCTCCTTCCGGGGGATGTAGGTCCCTGAGACCGTGACAGGAACCGGAAAGACACAGAAACTCTTCAGGTTTCCCTCAAACGCTTAAAGTTTCTAACAGTTCCCAGACCTGTCAAAGTGTTCAGGGTGAAGGAACCACCTGAAGTCCTCTATCAGGACCTAAAACCAGATGACCCCTGACCTGACCGCACCAACCTGGACCTTCGAACAGCCACTCGTCTCCAGCCACCCGCTTCACTCGTCCCTCGTCCTCAAAGTCCAGCAGCGCCTGGAGACGGAGCGCTGTGTCTGGGTAAACGATCTGCAGCGGTGTCACATTCTGGAGGAAAACACAGAGCGTCAGACATCCAGAACCAGGCCAGGACCAGAATCAGACAGGTCCAGCCATGCGGCGCTCCCCACCTGCTGGATCTCCTCTCCAGGGTAGAGCGGGAACGGGTCCCGGGTCAGCCGGATCTCCAGGTCGGCGTGGCGCAGCTTGGCCTGACCCGATTGGTCAAAGAGGACCTCATTGTCGTCGTCCCGGGCGACGGGATTGGACACCACGCAGTAGTGGCGAGGCGGGACCATGATCATCCGGACCGGCGGGAACAGAACCCTGAAACACCAGATCAGTTTAAAAAATACTTTATTGATCCCAATAGGAAGTTAAACAACCAGACGGATCCTGGAGAAACCTTTCGGCCAAAACCTTTCGGCCGGTTGGCCCGAGACGTTTCGGCCGGTTGGCCCGAGACGTTTCGGCCGGTTGGCCCGAGACGTTTCGGCCGGTTGGCCCGAGACGTTTCGGCGGCCGAAACCTTTCGGCCGGTTGGCCCGAGACGTTTCGGCGGCCGAAACCTTTCGGCCGGTTGGCCCGAGACGTTTCGGCCGGTTCGCCTGAACGCGTCCAGGGTTAGCGTTAGGTCTCCGGTGATGCGTTCAGGGGAACCCTGAGCTGGACTCGCCTCTCGTTGTCCTGGCGGATGTAGGTGAGCGGTCCGATCTCCACGCGAGCGATGTTGGTGTTCTGGTCCAGGACATGGATGTAGTGATGTGGCGGGATCCGGATGATGGACGAGTCCACCTGCATCTCCATCTCTGGTCCGTGGTTTCCTGCTTTTCTGGACATGAAGACGGTCAAGTTCTGCAGAGGACAAACGACTCCGGTTCATTCAGATCCAAACTGAAACAAAATCTGATTTAATAGTTGGATAAAAATCGACACATAAATCAGTTTAACAGATAAAGACCATTTGATCTGATGGTTCCCTTTACTGCCCAAAGGTCAGTGGAGCAGTTCAGTTCAGGTAAATAAATAATGTAGTTTAATTCAATTATTAAATTGCTCAAATCTTTATGTTTGAAAATAACTTTAATTTTATTATCACTTTTTTCCTTTTAAATTAGTTTGGGCTGAAATATGAAATATTTAATTTTTTTTTAACCCATTTCAGGCTGGCCCGTTCCTGATTTATAAAAGTTACATTTATTCATTTCATATATTAAATTTGTTTCAGAGGGCCAGTTTATATTTCAAATATATTTTTAGATTTAACTGAATTTGTCTGAAAAACTTATTTTTAAAGATAACTTCTTTAATTAATCATCATCTGAATCCCGACGGAGAACCAACAGAACCTCCAGAACCAACAGAACCTCAACATGTCGACATCTTCATCGTTTTTAAAGATCATCTCCAATCTTCACTGATTTCTGAGGTTAAACTCTTGAACGATTCAACTTCAATAATTTCCACTGAAATATGAAATGTCTGTCCTGATTGGTGCTTCGGTTTGGGTCAGATCACTTCGTGGTTCTGAAGGGATGAAGGTCGTTTCCATCAAACATCTGCAGCTTCATAACATCAGTAATAATAAAACCAGAGAAAATGTTTTCCTGTCAAACTTTAATATTTCAGCCTCTGAACCAATAAGCCAGATGCTGCGTTCAAGATCAGCTAGGAAATTAGAATCCCTTCCTGTAAACCTGACTGATACTTCCTGTCAGGACGTTTAACGAAAGCCATTAGAGATCTGCTTTTTATTTATACGTCAGCTGTTGGGCTTTGTCACCTTGCTGAGGTTCTGCTGTCAAGGGTTCGGGAACCGCTCAGGTTCTGTAGCTCAGATCAAACATGGAGGTCAGAGTAATGGTGTCTTTGCTGCGGTTTTGTTGAGTCCAATTCCTGGTAAGTTGGGGGAAAACTCGGGTCCAAAGGACCGGCAGAATGTGGTGGAACCAGTCCAACCGGGTCCTGGGGGGTCTGTTCGCCTCAGCTGGTTACTGGAACCAACAACCATCCAGTTTTTCACACCAGGAATTGGACTCATCAGAACCGGTGGAGGTTTCAACGTTATAGAGTCATGTCAGTGTTTTGGCCAGCCTGAGAAGGTCAAAGGTCAACTCCTGGGATGATGATGAGGAGACAATGTCAACTAGTTTTATGGACAATTGAAACCACATTTCTTATTTTTTTTTACAGATAAAAGCAGAATATTAAAATGTTTTCTGTAGCCAATAGAACAAAAGTAAAATTCAGTTTTCATAAATAAGTGATAGTGTCATTATGGACCAAGACTTGTGTGATTGATTGAGTTAATCTAATAATTTTACTGTAAATTAAACTATCTGGATAAAGCAGTTACTGTCTAATTAAACTATTTATTATTCTTTAAATGTTTATGTTTGTTTATTTTTTTTTAACAAAAATAATTTAAAAAGGAGGGCAGAATCCTCTCTTTCTGGAATAACGCATTTTAGTGATGCTGTAGTTTGCATGGTAACGAACTTTTGGCACCTTTGGACTTCCATACCTCCTGCGCTGTCTAATAGATTCCAGCTGCTTCTTAAAGTGGAGAAGAGAAATCTGCCAAGTCTTGTTTTCCTCACAGATAAACATAAATTTGTCCTCAAAATGTTAAATTAAGACTTTGATCCTAAAGATGAAGCAGAGGCGCGTTTTAATTCAGATAAGGAGTTTTAACGGATTTACCTTAAAACGTAAATACGTCTAAAATAAAGCTGGAAATAAAACTGGTTTAATGTGGTGGACGCAGCAGATTCAGAGCGGGCCCAGTGTTCGGGTATAGGACGGGTTCGGTTTCGGTTCACCTAGCAGAATATTTTCCAGAGAATTGCGGAAGTGTAAAAGTTTTTTTTTTTCGTTCCTTTTGCAGCAGCGGCGCCTCTTACCGGACTCAGGGCGCAGCTCGATGGGCAGACAGCAGCTCAGGCTCCGCTCTCACGGCTCCGGATCGGAGGACCTGGACGAACTGGACCTGGGACTGAGACCAGAACTTGTTCGGTTCTGGGAAGGGACGGAGTGGGGGTGGCAGCTGAGGAACGGGAGGGTCACGTGGTTTACGGTCTGCTGCAGCAGCTGCTGCGTCACCAGGTCGGGTAGAGGTTCCTCAGGGAGAACCACACTGTAAAAAATAAAAACTACTGAACCAGAACCTGTAAAAGCGACCGATCCACTAATCACATGAAGAAAAGGGCAAGACTGAAAAATTAAAATAAAATCCTTTAATAAGTGTGGGCGTGGCTTAAAGCCTGAATATAACCTGAGGACGCGACTCTGCAGGAAGAACGTTCTTTCCTTCTGCTTCGGAGAAACACACCATTATGATTAATATGAATTAAAATGTTTGGTTTCCTGTAACAAGCCTTTATTATGGAATTTAAGGGACAGTGGTCATTTCCTCTCAGGCTGCGGCTGGTTGGTGCAAAGTCTATTTAACCGGAGATGAAAACTGTGGAAGTAAAAACGTGTCATCATAAAAATTTAAGCAAAACGGCGATTTTAATGCCACCATAAAAACAACAAGAGAACACAGCTGTAAATAATGACTTCTCTTACTTAGGAATAAATATTTACAACGCCGATTCCTCCCAGGCTGACGGAAACCCAATTAACTGATAGGATCACCAACACTTCTTCCATGAATTTAAATAGCGCCCCCTGCTGGACAACAACATGAACACCACCTCTGTCCTCTACTTTTATCCCGTTTCAACAAAACACAGTAAATATAAACAGAGTAATGAGTTTAAGTTAAAATTCAGACAACATGACAACACTGACTGGTGACTTCCTGTGACTGTTTCACAATAAAAGCCTTTTAACGTTAGGAGACAGAAACTTCTTAAAAAAAATCCTCTCCTTCCTGTGATGAAGATGATGATGACGAGGAAGGTATGCCGGACATTTGAGGAACAACTGTAAAATATTCCAAAAATAAACTAGGTACAAAGCTTTGGTTCGTTTGTGCTGATGGTTAATAAACATATTTATTTCTAAATAGTTTTCAAATCCAAAAATAATTCTGATGGGCCCGGCTCGGTTCTGTTGGAGCAGAGGCATCCGGGCCAGATCAGAAAGACATATTTCTCAAAAGTTTACGGTAAATAAAAGAAATAAACTAAGAAAAATCTATTTATTTCCACGCAGCGTCCAGAAAGAGGTGATGTTCTGCTTGTTGCTTCGGTCAGCATCCAGCTATTCATGAGCTTTTATAGGACATATTCCTGCAGTTTTCTAAAGAAGTATTAAAATATTAAAAAGGTAGATTAGCTATAGGGACAAAATATCCCGACCAAATCTGTAGTCAACCAGTGTTTGTAGTGATAGTGACGCTAAACGGGACTAATGTCTTGATTACAGTTTGGTAACAATATTGGAAACAGCAAAAGTCATTTATGTTAATATGATTAATTAACATAGCAGCTTAATTAGATAAAATTTACCGTAAACTTCTGAGAAACATAACACACAAAATGAGATTCTACAGGTATGACAGATTTATAAAAAATCTGCTGAGTAAGCAGTATGTGACGTAGCATCGATGTGCGCATGCGCATTACCATAACGTCTGCTGGATTTACGGGTATGTCAGATAAAACACCTGTTCAGTAACCGGGCAGTCCAACAGCTCCGCGTCTCAGCGCCACCAGAGGGCAGCTGAACCAGAACCAGACCGCATCTGCTGGATTATAATCCAGAGCTAGGAGAAGTCATCCTGGTCTGGTTCTGAAGGTCCGAACGAGTCAGTGATACCGAACCGCTTCACCGAGCGGGAAATGAACGCAGGATCAGAGTCAAAACGCAAAGAAAACCTTAAAACGATAAACTTCATCTAATGAGATTCTGCTTCTGAATTCATTTCCACGTCTTGACATTTGAACATTCAGTAACTTATAAACAGAAATCATACATTTAGCAACGTTGCTGAGCAACAACCCATGCTAGCATGCTAAGCTAATGTTCCCAATTATCTTTTTACAAAGTTGGAAGAAAATCCAGAAGGTGTTGAATCCACGGAGAGCTGGAGAATAGTTTGACTCCAGCCAGAACCCCGTCCGGTTCTGGACCTTCGGTTCTGCTCCAGAACCGTTCATTTGACCTTTCACCTCCCTTTCTCCAGCTCCCTCCTGCCGGCCTTGTTGGACTTTGGGTTCAGTTCAAACTCGGGTTTAAGAAAGTTCTCCAGAACTCAGCTGGGTTTTACTGGGTCAAGGCCGGTTCTGGATGGTTTCACATTTGATAAAACATGATGTGAATTTCTGGACCTGGAACCAGAACCGGAAGCTTAAAGAACCCGACGGAGCTGCAGAGCCACAACATGACTTCCGTTTTAAATGTTGGTGCAATACCAGCGGTGGCCACCAGATGGCGCCACACCGCAAAGTCTTCCTCAAAGAAACAAGATAACTTTAACATGTTTGTTACTGAAACAGTGTCTGCTGGTGGATCCCAGCAGAACCGTTCTGAACCTGATCATGGATCTAAACAGACTCAAGGTTTTCTGGCTGCGCAATTATAAAGACATTAAACTTCCAGGTGAAATATCTAAAGTAATCATGGCTCTGGCTGAAAGGTGCTGCAGCAGCAGATCCAGTTCAGCGCCGCTGTTCTCCGACAGCAACCCGAAGCAGGCGGAGCGGCGATCCTGACGTTAAATCTTTAATCCAACATGGCGTCCAGCTGGTCGGCCAGGTCGTCAAACATGTTGCCGATGTCATCCAAGATGGTCCCTGCTGACCTCACAGAGCTCCCCCTGCTGGTGAAACCAGAGACAGACGGTTAAAGCACCAGAGAGAAGCATCTAGAGGAAACAGGAAGGACGAATATTCACCCCTCACTGCCGTCCTGGGTCAGCTTCGTCTCCACGGCCTTCAGAGCCGCTGCTAGAGAGCTGCTGGTCTGGTCCAGTCTCTGCTGGACCTCTTCTGTCTCAGAAGACGACTCAGAGGACAGAGGACTCCCCACGGGTCTCCTGGCAGCCAGAGAGGGGCTGCGAGGGGCAGGAGGACCCAGAGCTGTCGGCCCGGAGACTGCTGAGGAGGCAAACGCCACGCTTTGGACCACACTGACTGTCAACGTGGGAGAGGACCGTCCTCCTGAAGAACACAACATGAGAACAAGTTTCACACCCACGACTGTCAATGTTTGGGTTAAAGAAGACCAGCAAGTCCCAACCCAGTCTGGTCCAGACCAACAAGTCTTCTACAACACTGCAAGTCACAAGTTAACTCTCACAAGTCCTTCAATAGACCAGGAAGACTTGACCAAGTCTCACAACTTCCTCTACAAAACCATTCAGTTCTAACACAATTTGAAAGTCAGAGACAGAAAATCCCAGCCAAGCCCAATTCAAGATCCTAATTAAAGACCAAGTCTCCAGCCTGAGTTCTCGCCAATAAATGAAAAAGGTAAGTCACATTAAGAAATCCCAACTCAAACTGGAAAGACCCAGAAAGACCAGAAAATCTCCAGTCAAGGAAGGTAAGTTCTAACAACATATCAAGTCAAGACAGAAAGAAAAGTGAAAGACGACACCGAGAAATTACAACTAAAACACAAACGTTCCATACTAACATCATGGAATGTCTAGTCAATAGTGGAAAACACTCAAAGATGGATTTGTTTCAAGTAATAAGCTGAAAATCCCAAACAAAATTGGGCAAAAAAACTAAATAAATAAATCTGAGATCAGCTTCATCTCCTAAGGAGAGAAAGTATGTCCTAACCAAAGCAAAACGAGTCCCAAGTTAAGATTGGTAAAAGTCCACCAAACACTGTATACAACCAAGACAAAACTACTGAATCCCAACAAAGACAGGAAATGCTACAAGATCTTACAAACTCATTCAAGACCAGCTGACCAACCTTGAGACAGGAAGAGTCCAGGAAAACCAGGTAGTCTCAAGACAAAACAAGTCAGGAAAGAAGTCATAAACCAGGACCAAAACATAACAAGTCAAGAGAATCCGGACAGAGGCTGCTATGAACGTCAAGTTAAGACTGTAAGACTGTTAGAAAACTCAAACCAACAATAGCAACGCTGGGAATATCTCAAATGAACACTGTGGTGTCTGGAGACAGGACAGGTAACCAAAATCATAAAGCCTGAAGTTAAGAGAGAAGTCAAGTCCAAGTAAAGACCTGGTGGACTCCAACCCTGAATCCTGGTGAATGTGTCGACACCAGACTGAAGCCATTCAGAAGCAGGGTCCATCACTAGGTTCCACCTGAAGAGAGAAGCAGCAGAAGCTCGAACCCTGCTGGTTGCCTCTTTGAACCAGACGGGACGGAACGTATTCATTAGTCTCTTTTACCCAGAAAACACTTGGAGAAAATATCGGAAAAACCATGAGTGAAACAGTGACTGGGCAAGCCTACTATATAATTTACTGGGGAACCACCTCTATATTATTCTACATACACCTTACTCAACAGGAGAGGGCCCACTTTCTCCGGATGTACTCAGACATTAAAACAAATTGAAACTCTTCCTCCCAGGGCCCCTCCCGGGGTGCCAGGGCCAGATGGCCCCTATAGCTGGTCCCGCCAACCAGAGAACCGAATGAGGAGCTCTGAGGGTTCTTTAGTGCATGGATGTGATGAAGGTGTCTCACCCTGAGCGGCCAGCAGACTGTGGCGAACAGGTTTCGGACAGGTGATGGCGGGTTTTGGTGAGAGAGAAGGTTTCAGAGGAGATCCTGTTGCTGGGCTGCTAGGCGTCTCCAGACTGGCCTCGCTGATTCTCAGATCCAGCTCGTCCTGGTTCCTGGATGGGGGCCTGCTGCCACCAGACTCAGACCCTGAGGCTCCAGATCTGACCGGGGAACCCTCGCCGGTCAGATCCTTGTCCTTGGGTTTGTGGCGCCTCTTCACTGTGTCGGACTCTTTCAGGTTGAACTCGGGAACCTCCAGAGCTTTGGCCCCTGGTTTGTCTGGTGGCTCCAGCACGGCCTCAGCTCTGGGGGGGCCTGGAGCTTTGGGTCTCTGTTTGATGGTCAGGTTGCCTTCTTCGGCGAAGGGGATGCACTCGCTGGAGCTGTTCTGGGGAGACGAAGACCCATCCAGGCCTTGAGCCTTCGGTTCCTCCTCCTCAGAGTCGGACTTCAACCCTCGGTCGACCTCTGCGGTGCTGCTGGTTTGACTGGGAAGACATTCGCTGTGGACCTTCCTCCTGAGCTCTGCGGTCTCCCTGGCCTCTGACGCAGCGCCGTGTCTGGGCCCTGGGCTGGTCTCCAAAGAGGCGGCGATGCTGCTGACGCTCCCTGGGCTGTCGGTGACCACGCCCCCAGAGGATGAGGTGGGGCTGCTGTCGCTCAGTTCACTGCTGGTTGTGCTGCTCACTGAGCTCAGCCTCTTCGGTGGCGGAGGAGGGGGACCCTTTTTGCGGGCACGCACGGCAAACGACTGACTTCGGCCCACATTGCCGTTCCTGTCTGAACCAGACTCCGACCGGCCCAGCTGACTGCGGCCGGGCTTCCGGGTCAGGGTGGCGTAGGATGGAACATCGGCCGGCAGAACGGTGAGGTCGTCGTCATCCTCGTCCGGCTCTCCGTCCGACAGAGCGTAGCGAGTCTTGTTCTGGGTGCGCCGGTTGGGGGGCGTCAGGGTCCGGTGATGCTCGGGTCGGGCTGTCGGGTTCAGGTTGGTGGAGCCGCACTGGGAATGCAGGTAGCTGAAGCCTTTCAGAGCCGGGGAGGCACCGCGTGGCAGTTTGGGTTTGGCCGGTATGGCCGGGTACTTGAAGACGGTGGCCGTCCCCAGAGGCACCTGCTTGGGGAGCGGCTGATGCTGCAGTGGCCGCTGGTCCCAGCCCTCAGGCAGGTTCCTCTCCGGGGCCGGGCTTCCCTCCAGGCTCTCCTGGGACCAGCCGTGGGGACTGATTGAGGCAGTGGGAGGCTCCTGAGACCGGCCGGAGCCTCTGCACCGGGTGTCAATGTTCTCCTGGCTCTGCGACATCCCCACGGCGTTCTTGATGACCAGGCCTTTGTCGCAGCCTCCATAGTGACTCGCCATGGCGGTCTGCAGCTCTGCACTCAGCTCGCTGTCCTGGAAGGTCACCATGATAGGGGTGTGAGGAGAGGAACACTCGCTGCTGGCGTCCGGAGACTCAATGGCAACCAGATGGAGCACTCCGGGCGCTTTACGCCGCAGCGTCCCTGCGCCGGTGTCCGCCTGCAAGATGGCCCTCTGGATGTCGCTCAGCTTCTTCACCGCCAACATCAACTTCTTCTGATGGCCTGCAGAGGAAACGGAGCGTCAGAAAAGGTTCTGACCCAGACGGTGTGCGGCGCTGCGGCTCCGGACCCAGTTTTGTGATGCCGATCTCCTGCAGGTCCTCCCACGTCAGGTCTTTGACGATGCTGATGGAGTCGTAGCCATTCTCTGACAGCTTCTTGTGGTACTGCGGGAGGCCGATGGCACTGAGCCACTCGCCAAGGTCCGACTGGAAGGACAGGACCAAACGGGTCAGAACAGAACCGCAGCGGCGGACGGGCTGAGACGGATCAGAACCGAACCCCGGGTTCCTGCAGGTCAACACTCACAGGGATGTACTCCGGAAGCCACTCCGGGATGTTCAGGTTGTTGATCTCCATGGAGATCTTCTTCCGGTGCCCCGGTTTGGTGACACCGATGGCGGTCAGGTCCTGAACAGAAAAAGCATCAGAAACAGGAAGTTGGTGGGGTTGGTGGTGTGATCCACCGGGTCAAGCCTTTAACGGGGTTCTGGTGGATTCACCTCAGGAGTCATCCGGCTGATGGTGGGAACGTCGTAGCCGGCGCTCAGGAAGTTCCCGGTGTACTGCTGCAGCTGGAAGTCGCTCAGCCACTGGAAGATGGCGTCCGCATCCTGGGACACAGAGTCAGGCAGTCCAAACCCGGTTCTGATCCAAACCCGGTTCTGATCCAAACCCGGTTCTGATCCAAACCCGGTTCTGGTCTGAGCCGGTCCAGAACCGATTTTGATCCAAAATACACTCTAACAATTCAGTTATTTCATTCTTTAATGGAAAACAACATTAACAGAAATGTTTAGTTTTTAATGATTTTATATCTGAAACTGAAATTATCCATCATCAGAAGTCAATTTGATCACAACAGAAATATTTTTAATAATTACCCAAATCAAAATGTAATGGCATTAAATAAATTAAACATCATTTCATCTAAATCTAGAAAAAAATTATTTAAAAAAATATTTATATATTATATATACTTTTGGGCAAATTTTTCCAGAAAATATTCTTCAAAAATAACAGTAAGAACTCTGCAGAAGAAACTTATGTAATGTTTCTGATCATCATCACTTTTGAGTTTTTATGTAACAGTAATGGTTTATTCAGGACGCCCCCTGCGGATGTGTCCCTGGGAGGAGAGCCGGGACAACCGGGTCCAGTCCTGATCCTCCTACCTTCCCCTCCAGCAGCTGCTGTGGACGGACGAACTGCTGCGTGAAGCTGGGCTCTGCCGGGCGCTGCACCGTCACCGTCTGCCTGCGAGGGGCGCCACCTGCAGGACAGGACAGGCGTCTGAGCAGGGACACCTCACTGCTGAGTTGAGGACACAGAGAAACCCACCTGCAGGACTCTCCGCCTGTTTGCTGGGGTCAGCAGAGGTTCCTGGATCAGCAGCAGGGGGCGCCAGCTGCACAGCAACAAAAACAACCTCAGACTGATCAGAGAATCTGACGTTTATGACGTCACTACAGAGACATGAAAACCACCGATTTATTTTTTTATTTTAATCTTTCAAATGATTTATGAGAAACGGGGTGTTCGACTGTACCTTGTTGTCATGGTGACTGGTGGTGTGCTGCTGCCCGTTGGGGGCGCTGTTGCTCTCGGTGCTCTGGCCACTGCCAGCGCTGCGGGTGCTGCCCACGCTGCCGGTGCTGCCCACGCTGTTCCTGTCCCCGGCTGCAAACACAACAACAGACCCGGTGAAGGTGGGCGTGGCTTGGGGCGGCGTCAGACCGGGGGTGCAGCTGTCTACAGATGCAGGGCAGCGCGGCTGCAGCGGTGCAAGCACCCAGACGTCTCGATGGAGGCGTCTCCAGCTCTTCCCTGTCTTCGTCAATTAAAACTCTCTGAGATCGACATGCAGCAGCTTCTGTAGTGCAGCTACATCGCAGGACGACCTGCTGTCGCCCCCTGTGGCAGCCGTGAGGATTGATGTTAGCATGAGGCTCTTATTTCAGCGTGCAGCAGCGCGTTTTGGACCCGACACACCAAGACAACCAGCGCATCTCCAGACCAGCGGCTTCCAGTCCGGTTGGTACGGTCTGCTGGACCTAGCGGACAGAGGCCTCTGATTGGTTGAGTGTTGACCAGTTACCATGGTTACCCAACTTCATGATGATGAAAATCCTTTAACTCATGAAGGTACCAATTCTACCTCATTGTGCAGGAAATTCTGTACCCGAAGCTGAAGAGGTTCAAGAACAGAACCCTGAGGAACGCCTGCAGTCAGCGCTAACACACAGGCATGAGCTGATCTGAATCTGGAGGCATCTACTCCAAATATGCTCCAGTTTGGAGAAAAAATCTTTTAAAATCAGAGTGGTAGAAGGATGGAGCAGCATTAGGGCCAAAATTAAGACTACCATCCACCCAGCGGTAGATACTTTGTTGTTGGATGAAGCTGCATTCATTCTGAATCCAGCTGCTGATCTGATCACTGACAAGCCAGCACTGGCCAAGGAGAAGGAGGCTGCAAACTAATGATAGCTTAGGACATGCTAGTGACTACCATGATTAGGCTGGCATTAAGGGGGTTAACACACATATAGTTTTCTTTAAAACAAACAGAATAGATGCATTGACATGTTCTTTTGACAGTTTCCTATAATCCAACATGGCGCCTAGCATAAACATGGTGCCTAGCATAAACATGCTACATTACGTGGAGCCGAAGTTGGCTTCTGAATTGGCAAACAGTTAAAGGGTGATTCCACCTAATTCTTCACTACCTTGAGCAACTAACTTTATTGGTGCCGGCCTGTTATTGATCAGATCAGTAGCCAGATTTGCTAGGTGCTAGCTGTTAGCCTGTACAATGCTAATGCTAGGATATCCTAGGCTAATGCTAGCCTATCCAATGGTAACGTAACCCTATGTATACTAATGGACAGCAGAGGAAGTAGGCAATCCAGTGCCTCACCAGCCCAGGCATACTAGTTCCAAGCCTATCTAATGCTAACACTAGCTAGTCATACTAGTCACTAGCTTCTCCAAAGCTAACGCTAGTGAGCAGTCTCCTTCTAGTTACCGGTGCTGGCCTATCATTAACCAGATTATTAGCTGGCAGCGGACTGGGAGCTTCCAGCAACAAAAGCACTGCTGGATGTGGAAGAGTCTTAATTTGGTCCAAACACCGGAACTAAAGAAGAACTAGAGTCGAACCATCTTTAAATATCTGGGTTTCTACGGAAAGGTGAAACATCCAACAAGCTTTGGAGAAGTTTAAAATTAGATGAGGCCAGAATTGATGTCCAGAAACTAGAACATTGGTGCTTCTGGAGGTTGGATAACCTTTGTGCAATCTTCCCTTGAAAGGTCATAGGTTAGGGTCAACGCTACCATAACCTGGGCCAGCGGCGCTAAAATCACATTATTCTTGTAGTCTGGGCAGAGGGGCTCCTGTACCAAATAAATACCAGGACACACTCAGGAATCAGTCAGTGCTGACCTACCAGCTGCAAACTGGGGCGCACACACCTCCAGATTGCACCCAGACCTGGAAGCAGAGGATCACAGATAAAATGTTGGAGTTATTCCAGACAGAAATATAACAGATGAGGTTTTCCAGACTGAGGCGGCTCTGCTCTGATTGGCTGAGGAGGCGGGTGCTGGCGTCTCGGTGCGTGGGGTCCGGGCTCAGCGGGGCAGAAGCTCTGGTTCAGGGGGCTTACCGTGGAACGAGTCCCTGAGAACCCAGACGTCCTCAAAGGGACACCCAGACTGAGACAGGAGGCTCGAAGACGAACCTATCAGACACAGAGACGGACCGGGTTCTGTTTGGGCCTGAGGCGGTACCATACAGCCAGCAGCTTCTGGGCCTTAATGAAGCTTTGGCTCCAAACAACGGAAGCGAGATGAACTAAAGTCCAAAGTTTGGGTCAGAGATCAGAACCGGCCAGAATAAGGACGACTGGGGACGCTTGCTGGGCGCGAAACCAGAACCGTTACTGGTGTGTATCTTGAGTGTGTGCTGTACCTGCGCAGGACGTCAGGCCGTTGGGCAGAACCAGGTGGGTGGGCGGGGCATACCGACTGTAGGAGTCGTCGGTGTGGGGGGCGGAGCTTAGGCTGGAGGAGAGGGGGGGTCTAGACGGGTGCTGCTGGCGCTGGGTGGGCAGAGAGGCGTGCCGGGACAGGGCGCCCCCTACAGGGCGAGAGAGGAACAGGAACAGAAAGAGGAGGAGGAGGAAGGGCAGGTTGGTTAGAGGGAGGAGTCAGTCTGGATGGAGGAGCAGGAAGGGGAGGAGCATGAGATGGAGCAAGCAGCTGATTGGTTCCTGCAGAGGCAAACAGACCCGACAGCCAGAGCCCACCGGCGGCCCGCTCGCTGCAGACCAGGCCCAGAAACCTGAGTCAAGTTGCCCCCCACCTTCATTTAGGGATGAAATTCACTTGGAACCAGATCTTATTTAGAATGAACTGGTACACCACCTCCCAAAACACACTGGGTGACCTGTAGTTTAGTTTCTGACCACCAGAGGGCGCGATTAGGCAAACTGTACTGTTGAAATAGAAAAGTGGGACTAGAGCAAAACACGTGCTGGCCATCTAGTCAGCTGTTTCCAGCTCAGCTTCATGATCCACAGTCATCATCAGCACGACTTCAAATCAGTGCACAAACTATTTATAGAAGAACTGATGTTCATTGACCTTTGATGACCTCTAGAAACATTTCTTAATATCTTTAGAATGATAGCAGCAAAAACGAAAATTTTTGCTGCACAAACGTAGCACAAACATTTGACCCCAATTTTGTCCGATTTGAAGAAAGTGGGGGGCCAACTTCACACAGGGGGCCCAGAAAGTTTCCAGAACCCAGCTGCAGTCAGAACACGCCGGGTCCCGATGTTCTGGTACCAGAAGCTACACTGAAACGGCTCTGAGTTAGAACAATCCGGAAAATAAAACCGACTGATCAGTAAGAACTTCAGAACCACCAAACACCAGCAGGATTACACCAGATTAAACCAGGATTACACCAGATTAAACCAGGGTTACACCAGATTAAACCAGGGTTACACCAGATTAAAACAGGATTACACTAGATTAAACCAGGATTACACCAGATTAAACCAGGATTACACCAGATTAAAACAGGATTACACCAGATTAAAACAGGATTACACTAGATTAAACCAGGATTACACCAGATTAAACCAGGATTACACTAGATTAAACCAGGAATACACCAGATTAAACCAGGATTACACCAGATTAAACCAGGGTTACACCAGATTAAAACAGGATTACACTAGATTAAACCAGGATTACACCAGATTAAACCAGGGTTACACCAGATTAAAAC